ATGGACTGACGGGAGTTTATTTACTATAGACGATTATTTAAAATAAAAAAATTAAAATAAAAATCATGGACGCCTGTCCATATATTATGGACGAGTATCTCAATTAGATGGACATTTGTCCATTGTTTAAATTAAAAAAATTTACACATAAAAATCATAGAATGCATGAACGCAATGCAATGAAAAGTCAACAAAAATTTAACAACGATAAAAGTATATTGGGTGGATCTTCGTTTCATCAAAGGATTGGAAGAATTCCCAAACTAGATGCTTTTGATTTTAACTGAACAAGATGTGATGTGGATAAAATAAAGCTTTGCTCTCTGTACATATGTATTGACTAGTTAATATTTCAGACCATAAGATAATCCTACTGCTGTTTACGGATGTTCATCAAAGGAAAGATTCAAGGCATTACAGAATCACGATTTTGGTTTTAAAAATATTTTAATTTAAATTATAGATAGACGCCCATCATAGGTGGATGCCCAAATATATGAACGGGGCATCCATAATTTTTGTTATTAATTTTTTTAATTTAAAACATGGATGGGCGTCCATTCTAAGTGGACGTCCGTCCATTGTTATGTTCTCATGGACGAAAGTCTATTTAAAATAAATGACCGTCCAATAATCACAAACGATCATCCATTCACTTAATATTTGTTAATATGCTACATGGTTGCGTCTACTCAGTTGACATGTCATTTGGTGTAAAATTTCGGTATAAGTCTTCGGTGTCCATAGCATTATTACACAATACAATGATGCCCCAAACATGCGATTATAGTAGAGTACAATGTTGTATGATCTAATTTTGAGAGTGTTTTTTATATACTAATATTATATATATACAAAGTTAATATTTCTAAAATAATACTACTCTTATAAATGTATATACACAATATATTATATAAAATGATGCATCACAATATATGTTTGAGAGGGTAATTAAAAATATTAATTAATAGACAATGTTACGTGAATTCTATTCATATTTTTACTAAATACCGCAAATTCTCTTCTGTTTTCCGTCTGCTCTTACTTTTCCCTAATCTTATCTCATTTCTTAATCAACTACAAATCTCGAACTGCAGCATGCCTTATATAGCCAAACAACATAGTCAACTAGATCAACTTGCAAATAACGCCGCTGCATATTCTTGTAAGGATTATTTTATTCTAACCCCCTTTCAAGCTCGCTCGCATTCCATCTCCCCAGGTTAATCTATGGCGGACGTGAAGATATTATTACCTAAAAGCAAAATAAGAAACAAGACTATGAGATCTTCGTTTGGTTTTTCGGAGTTTTTAATAATAAGATTGAGTGTTTGGTTGGATAGAAAATTAGAAAACACTGACAAGTGCCAGAAAGAAAACACAAACATGAAACTATTTATGATTAGATCGAGAAACAGATGTGTTTTGAAATTTTAGAGGTTAATAATTAAATTTGTTTGCTGTACGAGAATAATGATCAAGTGATTGAAAAAATCTACGGAGAGTCATCATTTATCACGGACCTTCAAATATTATTTTACTCTAATTGCACGGTTATCATTCTTTCACAGAACTTCCAAATCAAGCCAAAACAAGAACTGATGTAAATCTTGTTCCAGATTCTTGTTTAAGCAGGGAGGGATTCATGGAAAGAAGTGGTGTCCTGTCTGAGTGGACGTGAAGACCACGCAATCTTTATCTGAAAACCACACCATTAGAGCAAATCTTTATCTGGAATAAACAATTTATGCCCCCATTGATATTTAAAACAAAAATTAATCTCACAATCTTACTAACCATCTTATTATCCTATGATATAATATAAGTATTATATGTATAATATCTATACTATATATTATATTTATATAATATAGTAAAATGGTTAATAAGATTAAGTAAACGTAGTTTTAAACTATTTAAGTGCTGTATTTGCAAACAAAAAAGAACGGCCACCAAAATGCTATTGGGCCTTTGGTCCACAAAGAATCCAAAGAGGTACGAGCTTTAATGGCGTTAATGAACATGCCAATAAAGCAAGATAGGATTAAATAATATTATCTTAATTTAATCCCAAAAAGGAATACTATTTGATAGTTTTCCTCACATAGAGACACGTCAGAGTAAAAAAAACACTACTTTATTGTTAAACTCAATAAAGCATATCGAATTAAATACTTTTTGGATCTCTTGAAAGCAAAAGTTTTATCCCCTTCATGGATGCATTGTTTCAAAACCCGGACAGGAGGATAACCCATTTTACTATCTAGGTCATAGGTTAATCGGTCCAATCAATTGGATCGATGATGTCAATAATAATTTTATTTTTAAAAAATTATTATTAATCCTTCAAATTTTAATATATTATAAAATTCTTCTAAAAAAGTTTAAATTAGTCCCTAAAATTTGTATTCATTTAAAATGCCCCCAAAAATTACTAATTAATCCCTAAACTTGTGACATATGTCCAAAACACTCCTATAAAATTCAATTAACCCTTATAATTTTTAAATATTACAAAAGTCCCCCTAAAACCTAAATCGGACTGGAGAAGCTATCGGTCCTGTCCGACCGACCAGTCCGGTCTGATTTTTAAAACAGAGCATGAATGTTGTATTAAATATGAAAGCCATAAATATAATAACAATGAAGATTGGCTCCATAGTATAATCTTACAAACTTTCTTTCACAACTCCGACGTAGTAACTCGCAATTGAACAAGCAAGACCCATTGTGAGTTATCACGTCGATATTGTGAGAGAAAGTTTGTAAGATTAGGTTGTAAGTATAGTATTGCCCATATAATGAAACCTCGTGATATATGAAATTAAAAAATATAATAATATTCCAAGGGCTTATATATAATTCAAATTTACTACACGGAATTGCACATTGGGATTATTATTTTTGTTAATTTCATAAACTACTAAATTATATTTATATACAGTCACGTTCTTGCAATTTAATTATATTGTCTATATATTTGTTTTAAAATTAAAGGTTTATGACCGCTCACCTCCTCTGAGGTTTGTGTTTCTCTAAGTGACCCCACATGAGTTTAAAATAGCATCCCTGACCTCTCCTTAGATTTTAAAAATTCTATCAAACCTCCCCTCTCCGTCGTTTGTTAACAGTAACAGTATCGGTTAGGCTTACTATATTTTCCTTAAGATTAAAGTACATAAAACCCCTACAAGTATATAAATATTTCAAAAAAAAAAAAAAAAGAAACCTCAAGTATATACGTTTGCCGTATTTTTTAAAACATTACAAAATATTTATATTTTATTTTAGTGAAATTAGGGATAAATAAGGTATTTAATTGGTTTCGGAGTTAGAGAGTAACTTGGTTTTATTGCCAAGGGATAAAGAACAATTTTCAATACCTAAGACCATTTCCAACCACAAACACCAAATTGGTGAAGTTTCACACCAAATTGATGTGATTTTTGGTGTATTCCACTATTGCATCTCCAACCCATTGCATCAAATATTACAAAAAAAAAAAAGAATATTCTCTTTCTTTTTATTTCTATTAATAATCAACCATTAATCTATTTCGTTAATTATTTTTGTATATATTAATTAAATATTAGGAATTATATTTTTATTAAATAATAATTACTTTGAAAATTATACTAATTTAATAAAATTAAACATTTATTTAATAAAATAAATATTACATTTAATATAGAAAAACATTACATCTAATATAAAATGCCACCAAAAAAAAAAAATAACAACACAAAAGTAAAATTTTATATTTATAGTAATTTAATTTTCCAAATTAGTATATTCTTCCCACAAATAATCAATTGATGCATTTCAAAGAGCATGATGAGTCTCTGTATCCTTGATTTGTTTATGTCGAACAAGAAAATTTTGAAATCGGATATTTTCATCTACGCCAATTTCAATTTCGAGAGTTGACACTTCCATCTGATTTTCAATCGATGCTCAACATTACGATCATTTTTTTTATTTTTCATCATTTTTTTAATTATATAATTATTATAAATATTAATATAAATAATAATCAAATTAACATAAATACAAATAACAAAAATAAGAAAATAAAATACATTTTATAATATATGAACAGTATCACACCAAATTGGTGTAAGTAAACAGTGTCACGCGTTTGGCGTTGGGTTGGAAATGCCCTAAAGAGCTTTTTTTAATATAAATATACATACGGGGTTTAGGGAGTTTTTTATTAAGACAAAAACAATAAACCTAACGACAAACAATAAACAGTAGAGAGGGGAGGTTTGAGGGAGGTGAGGGTGATAAGCCTAAAATTAAAAAAGTAATGATTTAGCTAATTCTGTATTTTAGAAAGATTCATTATTATTTTTAAAACTTCAAACATGCCTTTAATCTATTTTTTAAAAAATCAAATCTCAAATAATGCTTAACTCCTATTGTTTTTTTTATTTTTTTTTATTTTTAATAATCAAGATGTTGGAGGAATTTACACATATTTTAAGTAATCTTCAAAGTCTGAAAACTTTAAAAACCCAAATAAATCAATAAGTAGTTGAGTTTCGGATTAATCCAAAAAGCCCAAACCTCCTTGCTTGGGGTTCTAAGTTCTAACTCCTATTGTTTGAGATGACATTAGAGACTATTGGCCGATTCGGTAATTCATGGACATCGATATTGGATCATAGCACCCCTCTCTCTCGGCATTGCAAAAAAGTGTACTACAAATTATAATGTGCCCTAAATAAGGCAAACCAATCACGTGAAAAGCACTGCAAAATACGAGATAAAGAAGACGTCCAATTTCGAGAAAAAAGTACTTCAAATGTGTGCATTGCATGGCTTACCAAACACGGATTACCAATACCCTATCCTCATCCCTGCTCCGTATCAGACCTTTCCTCAGAGATTCCCGTCCTTTTGCTTAATAAAGAACTGCAACGCACATTACCCACCGCACATGTTGCTTTTTACACTTGCCATAGAGTTCATTAATTATCCAATATCAAATATTAAAGTCTAAGCAAATCACATAATATAACATATTTAACCATTAAGAGAACAAAATACATCAACGGATTACATTAATTCCCACTCAAACACACCACAACAGTACTCACTCCACGATTAATTGAAAACCAGATGCTTACATTTTTTTTTTTTTTTTATCATTTTTAATTTCATGAAGTGGGATTCTTCTATTGCTAGAACAAAAGACAAGCCTTGAGTGGGAATCAAACCCACAGCTAGCTTTTGCTCTCACTGTCTAGTGACAGAAAATGACTTTGAGCTCACGTGGCGAGGAACACTCATGCATGAGAGAGGGACTGTCATGGGCGTAAGTAAACGTGGAAGGACACGCGTGCTTGAAAAACTCAGAGAAACTCGACGCCCGACACGTCTGTGGACTGTTGTAGTGGTTCCGGCAACATAGTTCGTCCGTACCAAACGCCTCACACCCGCTCTTGCAACCCACGACCGTCCCGTGACCCGGCGGTGATCGCACCTGTAATCTGTCGGGACACGTGGCAAGAAGGTTGGCACGACAACCCACAACGGGACACACACCTGTGCCTTCATGTGGGGTCACGGTCAAGGGAACGTTGAAACCGTCGACGAGGGACACGCCGTACGAGGAGAAGTCCTTCTGCCCGTGGTGGAGGCTGAACTGTGCCAGCGTGGAGGGGGTGGCCCCACCTAGGCCGTTGCATTCTAAACGGTGGCCGCAGTCACCTGTCACGCACGAGAAGTAACCGTTGGAGTGTGTGCAGCCGGTGCGGGCCCAGATCCGACCGGACCAGTGTTGGGCCGGGCCGGGAAAGGAGCGGTGCGTGAGGCTCTGGAGGGGGAAGCCGCCGCGTTCAAGAACGGGGTGACCGGCGTTGGGCTGAATGGCTGGCCAAACAGTGAAGGGACAGTTGTTGACAAGAGTAAGAATGAGGCCGGGATGCTGCATAGCATTGGCGAGGGTGCACAGGATGAGAAGAGTGGCTGTAGTGAAAATGAGAGAGGAACTTGAAATATTAGCCATTGTTGTAGAAGAAATATGGAGTTGTGAGGAAAACTGAAGGCGCTCTGGTTGCTTCTTATAGCAAACGAAGCAGTACTTTCAATTCTATTGAATAATGAAATGACAGGAACACCCTTTTTCGTGAAAAATGTGTCAAAACAATACTACTCCTGCTCGTATAGACTATAGATAGTATTATTATATCATATTTGTTTGGTTACAGTCTTACAGAGTGGTGCAGCGGTCAGAAATAAGATGAGGACACCAGTCACGCTGCAACACCTCTGACAAAGTTAAATATACTTTGTTTATGGTTTTAAAAAAAAATATCAGTTTCTTTAGAGGAAATGAGGGCCAAGGAAGGGACGAGTGGTCTTGCTTGAGGACTGAAATAGTGAAACGACTTTCCATAATGAAGAATCAAATCACGTCAAAGAAATGGTGCTAAAGCTAACCTGAAAAATATCTAAAGTTTGATGAATTGATTACTTTTTATCAACAATGAAAGACAGTTGTTTGGCCTTGGGATAGATGCATGTAACTAAACTAGTAATTGAGAGTGAATTAATTCAGTTTGGCCAAGGGATGATGCATATAGAATTAACATGTACTTAATGGCCATTAGTGAAAAGATGATTAACACACACATATAGTAAATATATAGCTGCAGACTTTGGAATTCTTAAGCAGGAAGGATGGTAATTAACAGGAAAAACGTACACGTCAACTTGGAAACCAATCTGTAAAGACAAAAAATAAAAATAAAAATAAAAAGAAGATAAAAGTTGTAAAGATGGAAAGAGTTGAGAGAAAAGAACAGAACAGAAGTAGGTAGTAATCGGAAAAGAAAATACACAATGGAATCACTTGTAAGAATTTTATATTACTTTAATGTAATATTTAATTATTTGTATTATGGTACTAGGGGCAGGTTTTCCGAGGGAGGGCCTGGAATGCTCGAAATTGTAGACCAGCAACTAGAATCATCTAAACGGTGGGTTTATTGAAACTTCGAGGTGGAGTGAACGGCCACGACAAGCATGTTGGGTAAAGTGGGGAGAAGCAAGCATTAAGCCACCGAAAATGATAGAGCTATCGAAGGTCATACACTGAATAACGTGATAAAATCTTAATTATTGATTAATATTAATTGATAATAAATCAATGATTAAGATTTTACCACGTTATTTGATACGTAAATTCGGTATATAACTTTAGGTGGTTATAGCATTAGTCTTAAGCCACTAAGTAGCTGCACCGTGTACGCGGTCCCTTTTTTTGCATGCGTTTTTTTTAAAACTCCAAAAGCTATTAAATAAAAATTATATATCAATTAACTTAATATTAATGTGGGCCCTATCTAGTTTAATTGATGGGCTCTTGCATGCCAACAAGGCTTTTGTATGATTTGGGCTATTAGGTTTAGATTAGGAAATAAACCGAGGAAATCATCTAAAGCCTTGAGGTATAGCTTATATCAGTAAACCCCCTCTAGTAGCAGTAATAGCTCTCAACAACCTCCCGCTTGTGAGAGCCCTGATCCTGACATCCGCAGAGCAAGTTAATTCAAGGGGATTGGTGGATTGCCCAAATCTATTGCAGGTCTTGCTGCCTAAAGGCCCTTAACCATTATGAATTATATATAAAAAAGAAAGAAAAATGGTGCATATAAATGAAGGGCATATAAATGCCTTAATACATAGAGAAAATGAAGTGATATGCCCTTCCATGAAAAAGTTATATTATTCATATGCTTGTTTAACAGTATCATGAAAATCACATCATATGTTCACTTATTCAATATCAACAAGAAAAATGCCTTAATACATAAAGGAAACGAAACATAATTTCATAGATCAATTAAACCCTCTCAAAGACTTGCTTAAAAATAAAGAGGAATCACATACAAATACCATGAAATAACGTTTAATCCTACTCATGGGGATTATGTAAAATTCCATTCTGAAAATAAAAAAGTGAAACAACTAGGTCTTTTTAGAATATTGGATGCAGTTACTGATTCATGATCTAGCATGTACAAAGTAAAAACCTCATTCTTGATTCTACGAGAATTTTTATGAAATCATCTAATAGAGTCATAAAGAGTTTTAAGTGAAACAAACATAATCATATGAGATACGGACATTTATTCAAAACAGACAACATAAATGTGCAGAAATTTTAATCGGGCGAGCAGATGACATATTCTTTCATATTATTTTCCCATTTTCCAGACCAAAGACATTTCACATTTTTCACAAGCATGAGATAGCTGCAAGGCCATTGCTGTTTCAGAACACAAGCTCAATAGTGCTCTAGTGGTCCATCTTTCTGCATTAGGATTTTTGTCTATGACATAGTAAAATGGATTCTCCACTAGACTAGAATCAATGGGTACAGAAACGCAAGAACCTAATAGTTGCACTGTGAGTGTTCAATGTTATTTTTGACCAAGAATAGACCACCAACCTGTAATAGTTTTCATGATCTTGTTGGATCCTCTACCATTGGTCATTTGTCACATAAAAAAGAACTTGATAACCATCTAATTGACTAAAATTTCTCTGAATCTTGGGATAAGGTATTGAGGCTATCCTCACCACAAATTGGATGAAATATATGTTCCACAGGAAACATATTAGAACTTTACCCTTTTGAATAAAATGGGTATAAACTTGACATATCTGGAAGAAAATTTACGAGAAGGGTACTGATATAGATTGATCTCAGTAGGACATTTATTTTTTGTCCTCAAAAAAGGCATCATTTGTCATAAGTGTGTTTATAGAAACACATTTAAGGCAAAACCTTTAGTTTTATACGAAAGAGAACTTTGTCAATTACTGTGTTATTCTAGTTAACTTGTAACATGTAACCCCGGGAACGAACCTCACTTCTTAAGGAACATTTCTCTGAACTCATTATTTGACTTCGGCTTCTCATCTTCCACTTCCCCGGCTTTTGGATTTGTCAGGGGCACACCAAGTGGTCTGACGTTCCTTGGCACTGCAAATGTGTTCCTACCCTTCAGCTGAATGTTATCACTACGTTTAATAGCAGCAGAGTGTGGCGCTCTAGACTCCCTGAAAGTCTGATTACTACTTTGCGCTGCCATTAACCCAAAGGAGTAAGAAAATAAAATGCAGGAGTGGGAAACACAAACATGCAAACGTCTATAGACTGGATTGCATATAAATAACACACACAAGTAATAACAAATATGAAACATAATTCTGCTTAGCCTACCATGTTCTCCAGAGGCCCCATGATCAGCAGAATCCTTTCTCTTTTGCTTCGGATTTGACCGTGCAATGCTTATCCTCTTCCCAAGAAACATTTGATTGTCCTTTCCTATAGCTGCAGCAAGGTGTGCATCATCGGCAAAATCCACATACGCCAGGCCCTTCAAAACTCGATCAGAGGATATTATAAATTAGTATGTAATGGTCCCAGAAAGATGCTTTACATTTAAGGGCAAGCTGGAATATGGGTAAATCTGTATGGGACTATGGTTGAGTCTCCTAAGCATATCACTTGCTATCAAAATGGAAAAATATGCTCTTAGACAGTTAAGACTCTTTATACATATGAAAATTAACCAATTTTACCATAATTATGGAATTCAACCCTCCTGCAGGTTTATTTGAGACTGAATAATCGTCTCTGGAAAGGACATTCATCTTAACAGCAAAAGCATAAGAACTAAATGATTGATTGACAGCATGAAATGAAGAAATGGAATTGAAGTTTCAGTGAGCACCCTTGAGAAATTTGATCAAAGAGAATGGACTGCATTTAGCAGTTTCTATCTCCCTGCACCATGAGCCATGCTGATCTCCCAATCTCATTAAAATTAGTTTCTTAGGGCTAATTTCTGTGGTACAACAGTCCACATTATGCATAAACAGGTTGAAGTTTAAAGGTCAGGTAACGTTAAACTAGGATTTGACTGTAAGACTGATGTGCACATGGAAGGTCCAGTGGATAGCTTCCCCTTTTTCATTTGAAGCATAAAACACTAAGAACATTGACAAATAATGAATGAGAGAAACATAGTCACACCCTTGACTTTCCGGTGAACTTGTCCTGCAGAATTCGAACAGATTCAACCCCACCAACATCGCTGAAGAATTTTTTCAGGTCTTCAGAAGTTGCCTGAAAAAATTTAAAACCATCAAAATTATCTCTGTGTATTTGCCTATCCAGTGTTGAAAAAGAAGAAAAGCAATCTCTCTCTGAAGTGCGAGAGAATCTCTACTTGCCCTGAGGTTAAGGTGTTTTACAAATGCAGTACACTCGTCAGTGTATACTTTGGCTCTTCCAGTGGTGGAGTCTTTGATGTGCTGGTCATTTGGATGCTCTTCAAACTTGGGTTTTGCTTCTTTTACTTCATTTTCTTTAGTTAAGTTCTGTGCTCGTCCCTTTTCTTTCCCATGCACTTTCTTTGGGTTTTGGGCAGTATTTTTCTGCCGCTTAGCTGGAGACTCTTCGTCAGTTATGTTTGAATCTGTTTTTCTCTTTCCATGATCACTTTTCTTATACGACTTCTCTTTCTGATCGATTAGTTTAGGAGCAGATTTGGCTTCCTGCTGTAACCTAAATAACTGCAGCTCCTCCAAGCGGGGTGTAACCTGAGAAAGGGAGCAAAGACAAGCATCTTTATGCATTGAGTTAAAATAGCAAGGATTGCATACATTCAATAAATACTAAGCATATGCATCCTCATTCAGTGACATCTTTGACAATGTTACGTAACAACTGGACTTAAAAGCTTAAATTGATAGTTAAGCGTCCAACAACTACACTTAAAAATTAACAAAATCTCGTGTTCTGAACACCCACAATCACAACCATAAATATAACATAAATACATATACATATTCTAAATAAGAGCCCATTTGGTGTAAATTTAAATAGTGTTTTGTTTTCGAAAACAAGGAATATAAGGAATTTTATGAAAACACGTTTGATTAAAATAAGTTGAAATGTTTTCAAAACAATGTTTTTGCATATAATCCTAAAATTTAGTGTAAAATTAGAAAACAAGAAAAATATAATTTTTCAGTCTTTCTATAGTTTTCAACTTTGAAAAACAAATTTGAATAC